TCGCTGCGGTGTGAGACGTTGTCACCTGGTGTCCGAGGAGATGCGGCGTCTGTAACCTAAGAGGTAACCGTTGAAATGTGTGTAGATCATCTATAACGCACCGACTTTGTGTTAGAGCTCAATCCAGAGAGGGTTGTGAAATCAGAGGGGTGGGTCAAACCAGCATTTTAAAACAAATGATAAAATATCAGCAGGCATTACACATAGAAAGTTCTGGTTCACGAAGCTTTTGATTTGCGATATGCAAATATGTGCTGGGCTACATGGGATCGTACATGTTTTGTGGGTTTGAAACCACTGACTTTAGGCAAGCTATGCGCAGACTCCTTGACCTCCCTTTCCTCGTCTGAAGATGAGAATAATACCACTACCTTTTCTCTCTTCTCGGGGTTGAGAAGATCAGGTGATCCTTTTGGGACCCATCACAGTGCTGGCTCCTTAAGACCCTCAGGCGTTAGTGGCAGAAAGGACAGGCAGATGACTAGTCGGACATTTGTGAAACGTCAACTAGAAATGGCTCTACCAAGAAAGGGGGCACAGTCATGACTGAGTGAAAGGCATCCAGACAAGGGGACCCGACCTGGCTGGGATCCCCACTTGACTGCTTACTGTAATCGTTCTAGACTTTCAGCAGATGCGGGAGCCTTTGTACCTCGGTTTTTCCATCTGCAGACTGGGTGTGCAAATAGTCTCTCTTTGTGGGGCTGTTGTAAGGACTAAATTACTCTGTACCTGAAGCTCTTCTGATACTGTTGTTTTCTCCAGTGCTGGGAGAGAAGGCAGGTTAGGGCTTACTTGTTTTCTGTCTACACCCCTTCCCAGTCATTGCCAGCCTCTCTTATTCCAGGCTGCCGTCCTGGGCGTCCTGGGCCTTGGGCCTCCGTCCTCCGTCCTGGGCCTCCTCTTCACAGGTTTAGGGCTTAAGGCCGCCCCTCCCTGCTTTGCCTTTGTGACACTTTAGGCCCAAAGACACAAACCTTAGGGCTGGGGCCTGTCCTGAGGGAAGGGCAAAGGAAGCACTCACAGGTTAGGAATGGCAAACACTCCAGCCTGTTCAACCTGGTTCCTGCTTGGTGCAAGGGAGGGACTGTTTGGAAGGCCAGATCTGTGGCTGGAGGAGGGCCCAGAAGAGGGGCAGGCCCCTGCACAGCCACAGACAGCCACAGCCTCCAGTGATAAACCTCAGAGATAGAGAATCACACCCTGCTATCTGGAGACCTCTCCTCTCAGCCGCCAGGGAAGGAAGCCCTCTGCCCTTCCCAGCCCAGCTGCGTCCCTTCCAGGGGTGCCCCTCTCCCACACTCCTTACCACCACGTGTTGTGTATTTCTAGCGGAACACTTCCTGATATGCAAAGGGCTGGGCTGTGTACCCAAGATTGTGTACACACGCAGGTGCAGACAGGGACTCCATGCTGAGCTGTTCCTCCCCTGAGGATTGCTGGCAGGGGTGAGGTTTGGCAGTCTTCTGGAGCCCTCCTAGTTCTGGGTGGGCTCAGGTTACAAGTGAGGTCTGAGTAGGGGGTGAAGGAAGGCAGAGGGAACCAAATGCACTGATTCTGCAGCTCAAACTCGGGGACGTGAACTTGTCCTGCATCTAGCCTGTGCCAGGTCTGCAGGTTGGACGGCCATTGCCCGCAGTACCTCCCATACCGGGGTCTCCTTAGACTCATGCTGGAAGTTTGCTCTGGAGTAGACTCATGCTGAAAGTTTGCCCTGGAGTCCAGACCCCTGTTGCACCTTGGGTTCCTTATCTGTAAAGCAGGTTAATGTCACCTTTTTCCCTGGAGGAAGTAACCTGTGAGAAGTAACCAAGGTGATACACTGGCAAGCCAAATGTTCCTGGCAGCCTCTGGGCCTTCTAGGGTAGGAGATGGGGGAAGTGGGCAGGTTTCTTTCCCCTGTTTCGAAAGGCCAACTGCTGGGAGATCGAGTAGACAAAGGGCCGTGTGACGTCCCACAGGCAAGTCAGAACTGGCAGCTGTCTTCCTGAGCAGTACTTGAGTTGGGAAATTGAGGTCCCTGGGGGTCCTCTCTAAGAATTTTCCTCTGGGACCACCAGGTGGCAGTGGTTAAAGCACTGGACTCCCACATGGTCCACTGTGGTTTGAGTCCCAAACTCAGCAACTTGAAATTCATGCTGAGTGTGTGTGTGTGTGTGAGTGCCCACAATCCTGAAAGGAGAATAGAGGAGAAGGTATCGCTGCGTGGCCATCGCCCTTGGGAGGTGATTTCTCGCTTTCTGTCTCTCTGGCGAGCGCACATACCTTATAACAATTATCTCCCAAAAAGTTAGGAATTCTCTGATTAAATGGAATGCGGGCTGCCTTGATCTCTGCGGCAGGATTCTGGGGCGAGGGAGGAGGCAGCTGGTGTGCTAGCGCTTTAGCAGAAGCGCAGTGTCGACCCTGAGCTCAGGGTGGACTGCCTAGTCCTCTTTGGTCCCTCCTGGTCATGAGGCCTATATGTGGGACTTCACCGCTGAAAATAACTGCTCAGGGGCCCAGCAGTGGGGGCCTACACCCAGCCCTCCCCCGCCCCCCATGGGAAACCAGGGGTGAGAGCAAAGGTCCCCGATCTTGTCGTGATCTTGCTGTGAGAACCGTGTGGTGCCCCAAGTGCAGGCCCGTCCATGTGACTGGCCGCTGCTGAGCAACTGTTCCTTCCCCTTTTGTAGACAGTGGGAAGTTTGGGAGGAAGCAGAGCCCGGGGGTCTTGTCTTTGCACAGGGCTTCCAGCAGCTTCTGAGAAACCCTGTCCCTTTGCCTTCCCGGGACTGTCGTCTCCCTTACTTCCTTTATTCCTCCTCCGTGGGGATTGCCCGGACAGGGACAGTTAAACAGGATGAGCTGCCACGTGGCGCCTGAGGGCAAGCTCTGTGTCCTATCTGGGCCCATATTCCTTTTCTCCCGGGTCCTGGCTCCTGTTTCTCTGCCAGGCACACTTAGCCAGCTCTCCCTGCTACACACACACACACACACACACACACACACCTGCTCAGAGCTTCCCAGTCCAAGGCCCTGTTCCAGTTCACCTCCTGTGAAGCACTCCAAGCCACTGTAACACAGCCTTGGAACCACTTGATGGTGTTTGATGGTGTCTCTAGTCCAGGCTGGCATAATCGCCCACTTCTTTTTCTTTCTTTCTTTTTTTTTTTGGAGAGGTTTTTGCTATAGGGCATGTGCACTTGCCAGACAGACAGACAGACAGAAAGGAAGAAATCACCCCCAAGGGGGGGATGGCCACGCCATAATCCCTTCTCCTCCTGGGATCTTGGGCACACACGCACACGCGCCCGGCGTGAGTTTAAGCCACTGGGTCCAGGACTTGAACCACGGTCGACTACGTGGGAGTCCAGCGACATAGCCATTACGCTAACTGCTTGTCCCTTATCGCCCACTTCTTATCATCCACCCAGTTGTTTCATTTGTGGGGTCCATTTTACCCAAATAGATGATAAAGTCCTCAAGGTTCTGAAGAGCAAATCATACCCTCATCTCTCCCCTGCCTAAATCCCTGCAGGGTAAGCCCGGTCACTGCGGTCTGTCACTGCGGGCGTAGGAGCTGCACCCTTCCCCCATGTGATGGACCCTTGCCTGCGCCTCCAGCCCTGCCTCAGGCACCCTCCCCACCCCCCACTGCACACTCACTCACCCGGCTTTCCTTCAGCTGGTCTCTCACCAAGGCTGTAGCTCCCTGGAACCAGGTGTACTGGAAATGTGAGTGGAACACTGACCCAGCCCTTGTGCTCCCTCTCAGGGTACATGTCCCCTCCTTAGAGAAGCCATTCGCCTCTGCCCTGTCTCAGGACCCCTTTACCCTTTTAAAAGTGACACAGAGGCGACCAGCAGATGGCATAGTGGTTGCATTTCTGGACTCTCATGTAGTTGACTGCAGTTGGAGTCCCAGGCTCTGCAGCTTGAAACTCATACCGGGCACATGGGCGTGCATGGCCAAAATCCCTAGAGGAGAATGGTAGAGAAGGATTGTGGCCTGACCATCCCCCCAGCGGGTGATTTCTTGCTTTCTGACTCTGTCTCTCCAGTGAGTTCATTCACCCTATAGCAAAAATCTCTCGGGCAGGGGCGGGGGAGTGGCATGGAGATTAAGGCAGCTAAATGCTACAAGGTTGACTTGGTGGTTCAAGTCCTGGACCCCTGATTGAAAAATCACACTGGGTACATGTGCACCCAATATTCCCAGAGCAGGGTGGAGGAGAAGGTATTACAGTGTGGCCATTCCACCATAGGGTGACATCTCACTTTCTCTCTCTCTCTCTCTGTCTCTCTCATGCGAGCACATGAGCACATACACCTTATAGAAAAGTTTGTTTCCTTCTCCCACGAGTAAGCTAGTGACAAAAAAACAGCACCCCCAACAGGGTCTCGATACCACAGTCCATGCCAGTCCCTGCCAGCCCTGGATCAGGGCACATGCCTGCCCCGTATGCTCAGGGAGGGCTCTGGACATGAGCCCAGAGCCTTCCCATGTGGTCCAGCCTCACAAGAGTGTTGCGTTTTACCGCCTGGCCACCCTCTGGCCCCTAAGGTCCCCTTCTTTACTTCATTGTACTTAAAGCTGTGTGGAGTTATGTTAGATTGTTCACTTGTGTCTCGTCTGTCCCACCCACTAGCTGGGAGCTCCCTGGGGTCGGGATTGTGTGTAGTTTGCATGCCACTAACACTCTAGTCTTGCCTTGGGTGAGGTGCTTGGTATGTTATTTGTGGGGCACGAGGTAACGTAGTAGCGGGTGACGTCTATCGGCACCCTCTGTGTGCTAGGCACGTACTAGATGTAAACTGTGGCTTGTGATCTTCCCAGCCATCCTCTTGAAAAGATAACACTACCCCAGCGTTACAGATTAGGCTGCTGGTGACACTAAGCCCGGGGATGCTAAGTGACGTGCCCATAGCAATTATGTGGCAGAGTGGGGACGCAAACTTACCCTGCCTGGGGCCGGCAAGTGGCATGGTGGTTAAGGGCGCTGGACTCCCACATGGCTGACCACGGTTCAAGTCTCGGACCTGGTGGCTTGCTTTCTCACTTCCTCTCTCTCTCTTTCTGTCTCTCTTTGATCAAACTGGAAAATAATAATGATAATAATAATAAATAAAGTTAAAATAAAATAATTCTTTAAAAAAAAAATT